ACCAGAAACTTCAGAATTAATTTTAGAACTACTCTTTAGAGAATTGGTTTTCAGATGGGAAATTTAAAACAATTTATCAAAATATATCCGTAAAAAAAGGAAAAGAGAAAAAATATATCCATGTGATTTTGGGGTATTTTATCCCTTTAAGGGGAAAAACACATTATTTAAAAAATTAAAGTCATCTTATATTTTTTTAAGAGATTTCTGAGCTAAAACGGGCAAAAAAATTTAAAAAAGAAATTTTTTCCCAAAAGAGAACTTTTGGGAAAAAGGTTATTTGAGAATTTTTTTGACAAAATATTGTATTTAAATAATTTTTGCCAAAATATTGTATTTAAAAATTTTTCCCAAAATATTGTTTTTAAATAATTTTTTTTCATAATGTCCTTAAAAAATTTTAAACATTATTCTAATCTAAGAAATATTATGAAAATTATACATTTATGTGCTTTTTTAAAATCATGATTCCCCGAACGTAGTCGGATACCTAAATCAAATACACAGTATTTTAAAAGTTAAAACTAACTTCCAAGGTAATGAACAATTATAAAATTAATGGATAAAATAAAAATAAATCATATTTAACTGTGGAAAAACTGAAAATTTGATGGCGCACCAAAATTACGTGCAATTTATATGGTTGAATGTTATTCTATATTATTTTACTATTGTAATAAGAGTTTGAAAAATGTAAGGTATATGTACATATAGTAACTCATTTATAATTTGTAATCCTAGACAAAATATAATTGTAGTAAAACCTGAAGGTATGGAATCGGGTGAATCGTATAATTATTTTAATGAAAATCAGTGGTATAGCTAAACTGGGGAACAAAACCGGTTTGGAAATGAATTTTTGCCCATTCTGACGAAATACAAAAAAAAGACTTAAGTTAATTGAAAAAAGGTTAAAAATTTTTTAATTAAAAATTAAAAAAAGGGAATAACTAAACATGACGGTAATCAAACCAATCGTATGTATAATAAAAGTTAAACACTAGTTTCTCTTATTTATTTTCAGGTTAAATATTAATTTAAATATCACGTATAGACAAGTTATTCTTTAATTTCGATTTCCTCTCAAAAGCATAATTTATTTTGGAAAACAAGTGGTATTAGTTATTTTATCAGATGATAAAATTACTGAATTTTCAAGTTAAGCATTTACTTAGAAAAAAATTGGGAAAAATTTGGGGCTTTTGTCTGTAACATACAAAAAGTTTTCCCAAATTTTTATATGGGGATATAGTAATATTTATCTTTAAAAAAATATTTGATTTAAAAGTTTGACAAACTTTTTGAGTGTCCTTCTATAACTATGCATTTAGTAAAAAAAAAGCTTTTGCACTTAATATTACTCAAAAAAGATAACGTTTTAAATTTTTCAGGAAAAATTTAAAAATTCATGAAGCATGAAAGAATTTGAAAATGCTACTCCTTCTGCGTTGTTTGACGTACACACATACATTTGATTTACAAGTAAGCTGAATTATGTATGAAAAAGTTATGGATTTTAAGATAAACATGATTGATATTTATAAAACACTTTTCTTAAAAATGTTTATTGAAAATTCCTTGAAAAATGTATAAATTCCTAAAATCAACTTCTTTTTTTTTTTAGAAAAAAAAAATTATTACTTTGATTTAAAATTTCATGCCATGTTTTGTTACATTTATTTATTGAAATAGTCAGAAAAAAAATGAAGAAACATTTGACACATAGGAAAAGGAGCTTTAGTATATGAAATGAAAAGTGTGTGATCTCTTCTTTCTAATATAAACCCCTTAGTCTTTTTTTTGTTAAAGGGAAAAGGTGAAAAGGGAAAAACAAAATTTTCAAACCTAGTGTTGTTCTTTTTTTAAACATGGAGCTTTAAAATTTTGTGACAATATAGAAAAATATATAAAGAATAATTCAGGCTAAAATATTTATTTAGTTTTTTAACCTATTTTCTAAGGACTCGAATGTCCTCTGAATTGAATTACGATTTACGGCTTACTACTTTAAACTTTGTCTAAAAAACATGGGATTTTAAAATTGTCACTAAGTATTTAGTGTCACGAAGTACTTGTAAGTAATCATCATTTTCCGTATCACGTGTTGATCATGGTATCCGAAATGATGTAGGTTGACCGGGTTGCCCTTTTCACGAATTCGACCCCGTACAACTAAAGACCCACCGTGTGGGGGGCGATGCACGTTAAAAAGCTGAAACGTACTTCCATTGGTGTGGTTTTGGTAGTTGGGGGGGGGCCACCAGGTGTTGTTCGTCACGACCATGGTTCAAAAACGTGGTCCCGTCAAAACCCCGTTTTGAAAGGACATTAATATTCAATAAATCAATCATTAGTGGCATTATTATATTTAGCACATTTACCTTAACACAAATATTTCAGTTCTTATGAAGACTTTAATTTTGAGTTCACTTTTTCCAAAAGCTACTTTTTTCAATTTTTACCTACCCCATAAAAAAATAAAGATACAACGTTAGTCGGTTGCATTACTTTCAATTATTTGAGATGAAGACATTAAAAATAATTACTCAGTATTTATTATTATATGAAAAATTGCTTTATTTACAAAATAATATATGTCGAAACTACAATACTGTTTATTATTTTACAAAACTAAAGGTAATAAAATAATAAGAGTTAAAACATCTAACTTCCAAATAGCAATGAATCATTTCAAACTCTCCTTTTTAAGGATCTTTGAAGTTCAAATATTTAATTATCATGTGTTAATCAACGGAATAAACATTTGACTATCACAAAGAATAAGTAAATTTATTTAATTTCAAAAATAATTTCCTACAGTAGAGAAATATAAAACTTTATAGAGCGCGATGGTACTTTATTTTTCTTTTCTCCGGATTGAGAGAGAGAAACAATTATTGAGCGTGAAGTGGTTAATTCACTAACTTCTTACGGGTCACATCATATCATGATTTGGAGACTCTTTCTCGAAGATAACTTTATTATTCAAATGAAAGCATTAATTCGGTGCTTCTCAAACTTTTATATTTGTGACTCAATTTTTAATCAAAATTTTCATCCCCCCTCCTCCATACAGTAATAATGTATTGAATTAAATATTGCTATACTTTGACGCTAAAACTACAGTACGACTTTTATCTCTTAAGTGTCCCGGACGTATATATACGTCTTTCCAAGGAACGATCTCTTCTGTGCACTGACATCCATAAAATTATTCCAAAGGCTTTGAAATGCAATAAAAGGAACTTCACAGCGTTTGCGAAGGATTTGCTTATTTCAGAGGATTTACTTATTCATTCCTTTTCATCCCTCCCCCCATACATCACATACGCAAGCCTACGTTGAAAACAGCGGCATTGGAGAGCGAACCCCTTAAATTTTAATCGGCAGAGAAGGGATTAATTATGAAGATAAATGTTAATTTTTGTAAAATTTTACATATGCAAGCCCATGGGTTACCGGTAATTATAAGGCTTGTTCTTAACTTAGTATCGTTAAATTAATTATAAAATCCATTGTGCAGTACTGATACATTTATATAAGTATACTATAACATTGTAAATGTGTAGTTTTTATTATCCCAGAATGTGTTTTGTTTCACTTGCTTTCTGTAAATTAATAATTTTTTTAAATCTTTTATTTTTGACTTTTCGATATGCTGACGCCCCCCTGGCAGGTTTATCACGCACAATTTGAGAAACACTGCATTAATTCCAATATTATTCACCCAGGCACTTCAAATTGCAGCACATAACTGCTTTAAATGTACTAAAATATGCTTCACATTCTGTTTTCAACCCTTTATACTCTCTAATTAATTGGAATAATGGAGTACTTCATTCGTTGAAAAAAAAAACAATCCCTCAATACACTACAATTATCTTGTACTTGTTTTATGATAGTTTTTCTAAAATATCAATAGAACTATTTACATCACAAAAAAAAGCTACACACACATTTGAAATTATAATGAAAAAAATTTATTACAATCAATAATGCTAGTAATGATAGTGGCATAATGACAAAGGAAAAAATTAAGACAAACTCAAAAATTAGGCAAACAAAATGAGTGTGTTAAAGATTTCTTGCCACTTCTGTATATATATATATATAATATATGTATATGTATGTATGTGTGTGTGTGTATTATATATTATATATATACCATGATATATATATATATACAAAAAAATTCTATTATTGTTATGGACTTTAATAAGTACTTGCAAGGTAAAAAATGTATTGATACCTATGATTTGAAGATTTATTTAACCCCATAGATACAGAAGACATGTTTAAGTTTCTTAAAACAGCCTATAACAAATATTTTTGAATAGGATAATACAGTATGATAAATATTTTTCTATTATTCAACTAGTATTAAATGAAATTTATATTTTTCCCCAAAACTCTTTTATCAACAAATTAAAGGTTTAACACAAAACGGACCTGCTATAGAAACTGTTTAGCCAATATTTATTTATTTTGCACTTTTATGAAAATGATAGTTTTAGTTACGAATCTTGTGTTACTTTTTTAGATACATAGATGACCTAATTGTTTTTAATAATATGGTAGATTTTGTTCCTAGCTTTATTTATTATCCCCGTTATTTAAAATCAATAAAATTAATTACAATAATGAGGCATCTAACTTTTTGGACCTTTAATTAAACGTTAAGAATAATTTGCTAATAAGTAATATTTTTGATAAAGAGACTCTTTTGATTTTAACATTATAAAAATGCCTTTTTGCTGTAATTACACTTACCTATCAATATTTAGAAATATTATCTTAAATTTTATAAAAAGAAACATTGATTTAGTTACCTATAATGTATTAAAACAAATGTAATTTTATAAAATTCTGCAATAATTATTTGAAATACACATATTCAAGTAAATAATTTTTTAAATATATTTCTATGTTATATTAACTCTATTTTTTAATATAGATTACTAATTTATTTAAAATATCTTATAATTAGTTTAATTTTAATATATGTCGCCCAGCCATTATGGTGACTATGACCCTCGGCTTGTAACCGAGTGGGTTCGGGTTCGAATCCCGACTGAAAAATGGTTGTAACTTCTTCGGGGAAGACGTCGGTCTTTCGCCTGTAATCGATTCCCACCTCGAAAGGAAAGCAGCGCACCCCTTCTTGTTATATGCTGGGATCATAACCTGTAATAAGTGTGTATATTCTTCTATTGTATTGTATACTTTCTGTTCTTCTTCACTTATATTTCATATGATCCCAGAGGAAAAAAAACGCAAGATAACAACAATTTTAAAACATTTTATTTGCTTAGTTTAATTGCAAAATAATTATCTTGGTGGCGCCACTGTTTTTTTTTTTTGCTTCTTGTGTTAACACACTTCCATTTTTACATCACTTAGCGCGGCACTTTTGCATAAGTTGCTTGTCTGCACATTTCATTATGGGTTTCATTTTTACATGTAAGTTTTTATCCTAATTTTTCGATAGAATTTTTTCCTAATATTACTCTCTATGAGAAAAATATTATTGCTCTCTTTTAATAATTTCATTTTCGTTTACTGTCTGGTTTATCATACACGTTTTAGTAATAGGCTTAACTTTTCAACATGGCTCTATTTTTTTTTTTTACATTCAAAAATTCTGCGATACGGGAAAGGTGAATTCATATAGCATTGCTAACCCTAAATCGCTGCCTGATTCAGCGACAGCTTAAGAAATCCTAATAGGTCTCTATTTTAGTCCAAATACTTTTTTGTATCTGCATTTGTTAGGTCTCTCATACTCCAATTTCTTTCTTCTTTGGCATTTTAGGTTATACAACTTTTTCACTTGGTATCTTATTTTATTTTATTATACTATATATTGTAAGCATGTTACGGTTTTGAGTAGAGAAACTCTGAGGACGGATTTGATGGAAATCGACTCTAAAGAGAAGATTGCTGGGCATAATGGAGTCGTTACAGATTAAAAGATCCATTTCTGAGCTATTGGACATTTAAATAGTTTGATCAAGTGCTTTCTACTACTGCTGAGTCGTAACAGTAAATAGTTACGAATGAAGTGTACCATAACCATGATTTAACTTAAAGCAAAATGTCATACTTGTGCATTGATTGCACACCAACTATTTTCCTAGATTATTAAAATAATTGCATGTTAAAATACTTCCATATCATTTCCCTTTTACAGATCTGAAGAGAAATAATTCTTTCGGATACTTATAAAATGAAAAAGAAAAAATCTTTTGAAAAAAAGTTAGAATTTTAACTTTTATCAAACTCATTCTAATAATCATGAAAAACCGTGAATAAATCTAACACCAAGTCTTGCACTTAAACAAAAAAAAAATCGCGAATTACGTGTTATCATTTTAATTATTTTTCTCCCAATTATAATCCCCTTTTCCACAGAAAAAAAATCTGTGAAGAGTGAAAAGTTTTCTTTAGAATTTAACAGTAATAGGCACACGTAATGTAGTAATCCTTCCTTTGAAAAAGCAAAAGATTTGTTAAAAATAACAGCTCTCAAAGCTTTCCCTGAGCTTTACTATAGCTCCGGGGTAAGGACAGGGCCTTCGTACGAGAATTCCTTTGCTTTCTACCAAGTAAAACAAAAAGTAATTTCTTGATAACTGCAGGCAGTTTTCTCTTTCATTGCAGACAGTCTCTTTAAGCCAGAGTTATTTGTACAAAAGAGGGCAAAAAATACTCATATTCGTTACCATGGTTATCATGCTTTGACAGATGTTGAAAACATAGTAATCATTTCTTTCCGTGCAAAATTCTTTTGAAAGAAATTGTTGTCGGTCTCGAGTTTTCAAGTTGAACATAATTGCGTAGTTAAATAAGCTTAAGGAGTCTCTTATGTTGAAAAATTGGAGAGGATGTGTTATTTGAGAAAGAAATTCTCGGTCCCTCTTATAAAAATACATTAATAATTCTTGGTAATTTTTGTCTATATGCTCAAAGTAAACTCAAATATTTTGTCTTGGATTAGCAAGTGCTTGAGAATCTGTGTACCCGCGAAAAGTCAAGTGATTTGCATCGTTTCGTGCGAAAAAAAATGCTATATTTATTTGCTTACTCATTATTTATTTATCATTGCTTTGTTATACCTAGAAATTATTCACAAATGAAAATAAGAGATGGGGTATTTTTCATTAATTTAAGCACGTTAACTGTCAAAATTAATGCAGCTTCCGTAGAATTAGAAATATATGATGTAACTACTTGTTTTCTCTTTAAGAAAATATGACTTTTCTACTAAAAATATTAAGGCTGTTTTCGGCTAATGTTAAAGAATAGGACCTAAATTAGGAATATTTTTCAGATATAAAAGTAATCAAACATTAATATTATATTCTGGTTTCACTATCCTGTAGACAATCACTTATTTTATCATACTACTCATTTTTATCCGAGTTGACACATTTTGTCTTCATAAAATGTTTTTCGCATTTTTCTCCAATACCATAATGCTAAATGAGCTACTCCTTTACATGTTAAAAGAAAAAAAAACTAATTGTTTATTAAATATTTTTAAATTTTAAAAACACTATATTATAAACCAATGCATGAATTACAATGTAACAAATTTTTATAAAAATTGAGGCATTTTTACTGTTTGAAAATTTGCTCCGTGTTAAGTTCACACTCTTGAGCATATGGCGAAAACAGCCTCAAAAAAAAAAAATACCGATTCCAATAAGGGTGATTATAACAACCCAAAAAATATTTTATGACATAATCAAAAATTTAATTATATACTTATATTTATATAATAAAAGTAACAGTAATTATTAAGGACAATCAGCATGATCTCTGTATAGTATCAAATATGTTGCCGCTGTTGTTAGTATGTTACGGAAAATTAGGATTTCGCTTCTCAAGGAAAAAAAAAAATTCTGCAGTTAAAGAGAGAAGATGAATATGATGCTAAGGAATATGATGACCTTGGCAACCAATTCAGCAAAAAAAATACAATGGTAAATGATGATTATTTGACGAGATAGATTTTTTCAGATGTTCTTAGAGAATTCTTTTCAAAGAAGCAATATCAAAGTCAAGCATTTGACATTGGCTCTGCATTGCATTTGTTTTATACGAAAATTGTAATTTTGAATTAGTAGTGTTTAATATTTTTGTGATTTCATAATATATGACATTGCTGTTTAGTGTTCAAATAACAGCTAGCAGTTTCCAGAGTTTTACAGAATAAGTTACGATTCAAGCTGCAAAAACTGTCTGCTAATTGCTTGAATCTTACCTGCAATTGAAAGACGATCAATATTGTAATAATATGTTATATCAAATAATGTGTTTCGTAACGAATATTTTGCCAAAGCAACAAATTTATATATTTATCATGATATTTTATTTGTACTGAAAATATGATCAGATTTTAATGACGTGTACTTTTTTTATCTTTTACTTAAGGTATCAGGATGTTTCTAGATACTTAAAGTTTTCAAGTTTTTTTAATATTTAAATATTCTTATGTTACACATACATATGTAAGTATTCAAGTACGAAAAACACTTTATTTTTTCAGTAAAAAATATAATTAAATATTGCAGAAAATAGTCTTAGTTAAAGCTACGCATATAATATAAAAATTCAAAAGATACGCGAGCAGTTTTAATTGGTTTAAGAAATAGTCAAGAAAAATATTTTAATTCAATTTCCAAACCCTTCTGATTTTTGTCCACTATTCTAAATCTTATTAGTTATATAATTATGAAAGGCATAGCATAACTGTATTTAAAATGTAAGCAAGAACTTGATCTCAAACGATGTTATGAAGTTTTTAAAATATGCATGCATTATATATAAAAGCATAATTGGCATTGTACATAAAAATTTGTGCAAAATACATTCCAATTTATTAAATACTAAATATAAAAACTATTGTCCATTTAGAAATATTTAATTATGTATTCGTTTTTTTATGTAAATAAGTTAAAGTTGATAATTAAAGTCTTATTTGCTCGCACACTCTATTTTCAATTTTTGATAAATATAATTTTATATTTGTTAAGGGGACGGTGAACCATTGAAATTAATGTCGTAAATTCTTAGCTTCATAAGCTGAAAATGGAATCATTATAGTAAATGATTATTATATTTCAGAATTTAAATATATTTTTTTTTAAAAAAACTATTATAAACTGATTTTTTTTTTTAAAAATTAAATTTTTAAAACTATTTTTAAAAATGTTCCTTGCGCATTAGTTTTTAAGATAATTTTTGTTTTATTTTTAAATGAACTACAACAAAATATATCTCTGCATGGATTATAAATTCAGAATAAAATTTGATGAAAAAAAGATAAATTTTCTATACTGTTTGAAATATATCACCAATTATCACCCATTCAAGTTACTCAAATCAACACAAAATAAGATCCATTAAATATTTTAGAAAGCTAATGCATAAATTTGTGAATTTATAAGTTGTGAAAATTTAAAAGAGATATGACGTAATTTGAAACGCAAGGAGCATTTTACGTAACAATGAAAAGGGAAAATTTACGAAAAGTGCATTTCAAACATTTATTTCAGCAAATAAAAAAAGTAATTCAGTAATTATTAATCAAAATGACAAAATTTTTAGACAGATTTATTCTATGAAATGTAAGGAATATTATTAGTATACAAAATAATAATCGCAATGTTGACGTAAATTTGACATTCTGAAGGTCCACCATCCCCTTAAGCCATAATTTCAAATGTGAAAATAGCAATAAAATAATAAACACACATTACATTTTATTTTTTGTTAAAATTATTAAGATAGATATTATACATAATTACAATTGATTATTTTCATTACTAAAAAACTATTTATTGTTTTTTCGGGGATAAAGTAATTTTGCATTTTTGCTTTGACAAATACGTCTCGTGCAATCCCGTCGAGGAATAAGATAAATTTCATGTAAGATGAAGCTTTTCAAAAGATGATTCTACTTTATAAGATTATATTTTTGCATAAAATGACATTTTATTAAAAATACTTTGATTTTATAAGCTATGTAGAGCAGAATACGAAAAATAACAGCTGAAGAAAGTATATGTTATGAA